TGTGTGTGTGTGTGTGTGTGTGTGTGTGTGTGTGTTTACCTTATACATAGAATTAGGGAATGCTATCAAGTAATAATTAAAGAAATATGCAAATCTACAACTTTTCTGGGTGCTGAAAAGAGGCGACATGCATCTCAGGAGCAAGAAGGAAAGCCCTTTGTATATTTATGTGTCCATGTGCACAGAGAAAGAAGAAAACAAAACAGACTTAGGTGTTGTAAATAAACAGCTTTTGCTAACAGCATTGGTTGCCTGCTGTTCTTCGTGATTGGTAGGCTGTGGGAAAACACTTAATCTGTTGCAGCTAGTCAGACTTCTTGTAACAAAGTAGCCAGTGGCTTCAAAATTAGATGATGGGAAAGACAGTGTAGTAAGTGTCTTTGACTACAATAGCTTAGAGAACATATCCACTGACCTTAGAGTGGAAGGGGTGAATGGAAACAGTATTCACCATTGTTGATGGGTGCTGAGGGCAGAGTTTACTGTGTAATATTGGTGTTGTATGAAGCAGAAGCATATTCAGGCATTTCATAAAGTATACAGTGAATATTTACCACAGCTTTTATAGAGTGCCAACTTTCAGATTTCTTCTAGATGCAGATGAGTTCTGCTGTTGTGGTGTTTGTACTCGCATGGCTGTTAGGTAAGGGAAAACCAAACACCCTGCTTGCTTGCTACTTACCCAGGTAGGGGAAGTGATCTATCAGGAAAACACCATTCTTACACGACTTCAATGGGAGCCAGGGCAATCTTAGAATCTTAGTTCATTTTGTGAAATCGTGAATTTCAATCTTAGTCCATTTTGTGTTTCATTCACAGTTTAAGTGCAAGTCTGTTCTGAATAGTTTTATGTCCACCTGACACAAGTTAGAGTTATCTGAGAAGAGGAACTTCAATTAAGAAATTGTCTCCAGCTGGGTGGTGGTGTCATACACCTTTGATCCCAGAACTCAGGATACAGAGGCAGGTGGATCTCTATGATTTCCAGTCCATCTTGGTCTCAGAGTAAGTTCCAGGATAGCCAAGGCTACATAGAGAAAGCTGTCTAGAAAAGTAAAAATAAATAAATAAATAAATAAATAAATAAATAAATAAATACAAAAAAGGCAAGAAAAAAAAAAGTCACTTCCATCAGATTGTTGTTAGGAAAGTCTGTAGGGCGTTTTCTTGATTAATGATTGATGTTGGAGGGTCCAGCCTACTGGGAGCAGTATCACCCCTGGGCCTGTGGTTTTAAGTGACATAAGAAAGCAGGCCCCGAGAAACATGCCAGTAGCAGGACTCTTCCATGGCCTCTGCTTCAGGTCCTGCCTACCTTCATTTCCCTCAGTGATGGAGAGTGACTTGAGAGTTGTAAAATAAAATGAACCCTCCCTCCCTGAGTTGGTTTTGGTCACAGTGTTTTATTACTGCAGTAGAAACCCTGAACAAAGTCTTAATTCATTTAATATTTTCAAAATTTCTCAAATAATTATCCCCTGACAATCATAGCCTACCTAGTTCCTGTTTTGAGAATTAAGCCTTAGTAATAGTGAGATCTCGTTCTTGTGATTCACACTACATACAGCTTGAAATGTCTTCTAGTTGATATGTTATTTAAAGCAAAGGGAAAGGAAGAATATTGGCACATCTGGAAATTCTCAGTGGAAGAAAGTCTCATTCAAACAAGTACAGTTTTTACATACCATTTAGAAATGCATATGACATATGTTGAAAGACCACAATTAAAAAGTCTTGAGCTTGGCATGGTGAAGCAAGCATGGAATCCCAGAATTTGGGCTGCTGAGGCAGGGGGATAAGATCAAGGCCAGTCTGGGCTTCATTGCAAGTTGTGGATAGTGTATTACATAACGAAATTTTGTCTAAAGAAAAAACAAAACACCTTGAATTATTTCTTCTAAGCATATGTAAAATGGAGGATGTAGAATGAGTCACCAAAGACCCTGCCCACATCTGGATGTTTCCCACCACAACACCAGTTCTATATGACTCCATTGATTAGTTTTAAGACAGATTTCTCTCTCACACATCTTTTCACCTATCTAAAGAACTCCCCACTAAAAAGAACATGCTCCCTGGTGTGGTGGAGTATACCTGTACTACTAGCACATAGGAAGTAGAGACAGGAAGATCATGAGTTTGTAGCCTGCATAGTAGCAAGACTCTATCTCAAGAAAACAAAACAAAACAAAACAAAAGATGGGCCAGAGCTGGCTCGGTGCCACCAAATCTGATTACCTGAGGTCACCCTTCAGAACCTATGTGGTGGAAGGAGGGAACTGACTCCCTGCAAGTTATTGTCAGACCTCCACACATGCACTGTGTCATGTGTGTGCCCTGAAAAATACACATACACACAATGAATGAATGAATGAATGAATGTTAAGAAAGAAAAGAAAACAAAAATATGTATTGAATCTATCATTCCACCTTTAAAAAAGGAATAGAAGTATTTCTCTGATACTATCAGGTGGTCAGTTGTTCTTCATATTTCCTCTTCTATCCAGTAATATTTTTTAATAATTTAGATTGGACCAGATTTGTGAATTGCTGTCTTGTGGTCGGGTACCGTGTCTTGTGAATATGATCTGGTCTAAGTTCCATGTTCAGCCTGTTGGTTATCATTTGGTCGCAAATCTCCTTTATGATTGAAGACTCAAGTAGGAATTTTTCTAATATTCTATGCATATTGATACTGTGTTAAAATAGAATGTTTGATTACTTATTTAAAAATAATGGTAGTAATAAATCTATCTGATTATATATATATATATATATGTATATATATATATATATATACACAATTTTTATGAAAGAGCAATAAATATAAGAGAAGTTGGCACAGTTTCAACTTCTGCAAATCTGTCTAATGTCTGGTTTTACAGGAGATAGCTGGACGATTACAGCTGTTTCAGCCTTTAGTCTATTCCAGTTTGTTGTTTTGGCTGAAGTATATGAAGAAAGTCTGCGTTCATGTAGACACAAGGTTGGAAAAGATTTTTCTAGTTCTTCATTAATAGTGGAAATCTTTGATATCACAGCAAAACTCCAGGAAGGGTAGTTTATCTTAAAGGTGGGTTGGTGTGCAGTTGAAACTTGATCACTGAGATTTCACCCTGTATTAAAATTTATTGATCTGAGAGTTAGAACCAATCCATTCTGTGGGCTTGGTGTTGTAACATTATACCCTAGTCATTTAGAGACCATTTCTCCAATGAACTATGTAAATCTTCCAAATCTTGTCATAGCTCATTAAATATTTCAAGCTTCATTCTCATGTCTGTCACTACCTTTCCATGTCCTTGGCAAAGTCTTGGCTCTTGGGAAGCTGTCAGGGTCATAGCAGATGTTTCAACTGAGTCAAACAAAAGTGATCTCTTTCTGAAAAAAAAAATCACATCCAATTTGTTGTGTTTTTAGGTCAGACATGTCATTGGTAGATTAATACAGATGACAGTGAGTCGTAGACTCAATTTCCTATCAAAATGGTATCTTTTAAATCCACATTTTGTTTAGTAGTTCCCTTATCTTTGGTTCTACTTACTGAGATTATATTAACTGAGGGCTCAAAAATATTAAATGGAACTGTCCAGAAACAAACAGTCCATCACTTTTAAATGTTCTGCATAATGTGAGATCTTAGGCTGTGCTACTTCAGTCTGCTTAAGAATGCCTCACCTTTGGTCCATACTGTATATACTACACCTCTCCCCCACTCAGCTACCAGAGTGACTGTCCATGTTTATAATGCTTGTATTCAAGTAAACCTCATTTTGCTTAACATTGATGCCCAGCCGCAAGAGCATTGATACTGATGACTTGAATGTGCCAAAGAGAACTCTTAATTATTTAAATAAAAAGGAGAAAACTCTTACCTTAATAAGGGAAGAAAATCATGCCAAGTTACTGATAGTTGTTCTTAACCTTTTACAGTGTCTAATTTATAAGTTAAACTTTACTGTAGGAATGTATGCTTAGGGGAAAAACAGTGTGCAAAGCTGGTGGTATAGCTCAGTAGTGGATTGAGTGCTTCTCCTAGCTCTGGTTGCAGTTTCTAGTACCGCAAAGTAAAACAGAAGCATAGAATAACAGGGTTTGGAGGGCCTCACATGCTAGACAAGTCCTATACCACTGCTCAGCCCCATTAGCGATACTTTTGAAGCAGTTGTTTGTAGATGGATGAATCAAGAAAATAATGTCATTAAAAGAAATAAGTAATAATGGTCACTAAATCAAATTGACGTGCATGTGAAATACTTGTACTCCCCCTTTCCTGTTCCAGGTTAAAAAAGTAAATCATGACCGAATCTGCATCTAGCACAAGTGGTCAAGAGTTTGATGTGTTCAGTGTTATGGACTGGAAGGATGGAGTTGGTACCTTACCGGGGAGTGACTTAAAGGTAGGTTTGCTTTATCATGTATACATTATGTGAGCTTATTTTATAGTGACTACATACACGAAATAAGGATTCAAACCATTAAACCATTAAATATAGTTATGGCTTTATACAGTATGTGGTCTTCTTCAGTAAATTTGTAAGATAATTTGAAATACTGATAGATTGTCAGGTTTCCTCATTTGCGTTAGGGGATGGAAGAATATTTTTAGAATGTCCTTAGTTTAAAAAAATCAATCAATAGCTCTGAGGGGATCATCTATCTGTTTGGGCTCTATTATAATATGGTCAATATATATGGAAATGACAAACCTAGAAGATCTAGCTTTTTTGATATTTTAGTAAGGGCTTTGTAGCATTGAGTGGATAACCACATTCCCGGGGTCCCAGTGTTCTTATATAGAAACTTGGTAAAATAATATGAAAAAATTTGAATCAATAGGACTCTTCACTGCCTTTAAATTATTTATACTATGAATATGAGTTTTTGTATAATTACTTTTTTATAAGTCATCCTGTAATCTTATAGAAAGGGCACTTTTCATGGGGTACAGTCTATTCACACTAAATGTGTTAGTCCACTGTGCGTATCCACTCTTCTCGAGTTTCACTGTATATGTGCTAGCCCACTGTGTGTCTTCACTCCCCATGAGGTTCAGTCTGTTCGTTGTGTATGTGTTAGCCCTCCATGTGTCTCCATTCTTCCTGGATTCAGTCTACTCACTGTATATGTGCTGTTTGCCACTGTCTCCATTCTTCATGGGGTTCTGTCTGCCTACTGTGAATGTGCTGCTTGCCACGTGTCTCCTGCCCGACTGAGTCTCCCTCAGGACCACCTCTGCTGCTCCACGAAACACAGTTGTGCAAGCTCAAACTGCCCTACTTCTCATTTCTGATTCGTTTTAACTGTGTTCCTATCTCCGGGACCTTGAACCTGTCTGTGACCTTTTAGTCTTTGTGTTTGTACTCAGTCATTTAGGTGTTTAAACTTCCTGTCTTTCTAACAGACTATCACTTGGTCTGTCTCTATAATACTTGATGTTCTGTGCTTTCTCAAATAGGAAAATTTTGCTCCTAACTTAGGCTTCTTGAAATCTAATCCTTTTGATGGCTGCTTGACAAATATCTTAGCCAAGTCCCTGCCCTCACGTATCCTCAGGGTACAATTTAAACATCTGCCCGGAGTTGGAAAAATGTTTGAGATTTGAGTTGGCTTAGGTTTAATTAAGTACAAAGTGGCAATGTATGAGTTTAAGGAAATAAAACTATTGCAGTAAGCTTTAGTGAAATTTGGAGAAACCTTTTTTGTTTCTTAAATGGGTATCAAAATATAGTCAGAGGTTTTTAATTCTGGTGTTCTTTTATACCATAGGGCAACTATAGTCTAAACTAATGCATGGTATACTTTAAAATAACTAAAAAAGAAGATTACAAAGATGTAAAGAAGATTCTTTACATCTAGAAGTGGAAATGTTTGAGGAAGTAGGAAAGCTAATTTCGTCATCTGAACATTACATATTATATGTCTCTATGGAAATAGTATATGGTACTCATAAATATATATGCACACACACTATGAGTCCACTTAAAGTTATTAAAAAGAAGAAATTTTCAGCTTTAGTTTTGTGTGATGACAGTTATGGAACAAGTTAATCTTTCTCGTTCAAGATTTTTCTGCAGTAAAATAAATAAATACAAGAACAAATAGGAATTGAATTGCTCTGACATTCTCTAAGTGTCTATCTTCATGAGACATGATGGACATAGAAGGCTGAAATTTTTTTTTACTAAAAAGCAGGCACAATTTTCAAGCTCTGATAATGGCAACCATGGATTAGCCATGTTAAGTTATTTAAACTCACACACTGGAGAGGTAGTTCAGCACTTAAAAGTTACTTTTGCAGGGAACTCTAGTGTGGTTGGGAAGCTCACAATGGCATGTAAGGCCAGTTCCAGGGGAACCAACAGTCTCTGGACTCCAAGGGTATTCGCACTCAACAGTGTTCCAATCCCAGCCACATATACATAATTAATAATGAAGTAAGTCTTGGGATGGATGACTTAAAATCCTTACATTTTGTAAGCTTTATCTGAAAAAATGGGAGCTGTTAAGATCCATAGGATCCTCAACTGTGAAAAGGAGTTGTGGATTGAGAAAGAATGTAAACAAATACTTGGGGTGTGCATTTTCTGACTTTGCAACATATTATGGAAACTGTCCTTTTCTGTTATTTCATATATATGTTATTCTTGTTCATTTTCACTATATAATGCAACTTGCATGTCAGAGTCATGATGAAATTTATAACTTTCTTTTAGTTAGCTTTTGGTAACATCGGGGAGTTTCCATCCCTAAGAAATCTGGATTGCTTTGAAGTTTTCTAAGCAGTGAATTTTAGAAATTAGCCTATTATTTTTATTAAGATAATCAGGTAATTAAGTCATTTAGGGTATTATAATCAGGGTTATTTGATATGACTTTTATACTCATGTAATTACTGGGGTAATTGCCATGTGTCCAATCTACTTCATGAGTGGTCGACAGTCTGGTACCTCATTTTAACAAATAATTTGAAGGGCTAGGAGATGACTTAGTGGAAGACCACAGAGTTCAGAGAATGGCCTTTTCTCAAGGAGATGATGATGATGAGAGTGACAAAGCAGGACATAGACATTCTCCTAGCCTCTGTATGGAATGGATGGTGTGTGCAACAGCGTGTGTGTGCATACAACATTCATATATACCTCTCTCTGTCTCTCTGTGTCTCTATCATACATAAAATATATTATTTATAACCCTTTAATGTGAGATTCATAGCCCATCTTCTGTATAACAGTTTCCTCTGAGATTTAAATATACCATCCTGCAGGAAATACCCTAAGAAGGAAGGCAAACAACTCAAATAGCTTCAGGAAGTCCCTGAAACTGAACAGATTCACTAGGCCTCTCCCTGCTGGAATAAGCAATAAGAGCTGAGAGTCCCTCTCCAAGAAGTGTCAGGCTGCACAGAAAGCTCTCAGACAAGCTGAGCTGTAAAGAGTCACAGCAGACCAGCTGCCTAGAAGCAGCAGAAACCAATAGAGCTCCCTGTAAGAGTTTAAATCAACAAAGGCACCTGGAAAGGACTCTCCAAACTGATGAGCTGCCTATAGGCTATTTAGTGTACTCCAGGTTCCTAGCTTTGTAAGCTGTCACCCATGCTGGGGTAGACTTTGGTGATGCAGCTATCTGAGTCATTTTTTGCTTCTGAAAGCAACCCCAATAAAAAATTTTGTTCACCACGTAGAACTTTGATAGTGTCTGTACTTTGGTCTGTTGTGGGCTCCCTATCTGGAATGAGTAGATGTGTGTGCTGTGACTCCCTAGGAGAAGTTTTGTCAAACAACACCTTCTCATTAACTATATTCCATAGCATTTCTTACATCAAAATCCTGGTTGTTTAAGAGGTTGAGAAAATAAATTTTCTACTAAACTAAAATGTTAACACTTTGAATAATTAATAAAATTTGCTTCTTCATATCATGCTGGGGACTTACTGTTATGCAGGCTGCTGCTTTTTAATGGTTTGTGTATTTATAGGCATGTGGATTTCCTAACAGTTGGTACCTAAGTCTTCCAACTGAAGTTTAGCCAGCCGATACAGCCTGGCCTCACAGGTAGAGGTCAACTTCCCGTTGTGTGAACAGGTTTATGTTCTGTGGATTTTGCCACCTTGAAAGAACTTTCCTTTGTGACAGCCTCATGGTTGCTGGCTAATTACATTGTCATTTTTCTGGTTAAACTTCTGGAGCACTTACCATTGTCCAAGTTCAAGCTCCTGAAGGCTTTTGGTTTTCTGACCCCCGCTTTTCTCTGGCCTCATCTCCTTTGACCTCAGGGCCTCTTTGTTTCTTCCTGCTCTCCTATCATGGGGACATTTTCCTGTCTTGTCACTGATATGTTCTGCCCTCTCCATACTGGCCTCATTAACCAAATTCTTTGAAATAAAGCACAAACATCTTTTTGGGTACAGAAGCGAGAGAAACAGGAAATTAAGCCTCTGAGGGAGCATCTTGCCCGCAATGTATTCCAGCCTTTCTTTTAGCGCCTTCTGTCTGACTTTTGTCACTTATTGCAGCTCTGGGGCGGAGGAGACAGCAGTGTTTGAGACTGACTCTCTTAACACTCATACACTGCTGTCTAAAGACAGAGCGTGCTCAGATCATCAGACACAAGGAAAACATTACACGTTTAGAGTAATGGAGACTTCCTTCAGCGGGTGGGACCAGGGCGCCTTCAAAAATCAGGTGTCATTTGAGCTGAAAATGTCCTTTGTGAAGACGTCTTGGAAGGTGCCAGGGAAGAGAGCAGAGCAAAGTTTCCAGAGGCAAGGCCACTGCAGCAGCAAAGTGTTCAAAGGATGACAAGTGCCTGCTGCTAGTCTTGAAAAGATAGTGGTTATTATCCCTGCATTTCCGCCTAAAAAGGCTTCAGAACTTTTACAGTTACCTAATTTGTTCTTTTAAAATTCAAATAAGCATGGGAGGATGGGAGGGAGAGGGAACTGGAATTGGTATGTAAAATAGGATCGTTTTTAATTTAAATAAAAATTAATTTAGAAAAAGAAGTAAGTAATGCAAGTAAGCTTTGGTAGCACACAGTCTCCAAGTTAGCTATAGGAGAGGCAGCTGACCTAGTGGCAGTATAAAGGTACCTGGCAGAGCTCTCACAGGTCTTTCTCTACCTGAATTTCTAATGGCGTCTGAAATATTTCTTCAGGGAGAATTAGTCCTCTGAGGCAGAAGGAGTTAGTCTCTTGGAGTACCCCAGTAAAACGCAGATGCTCTCCTGAGAGTGATAGCATCTTATCTTGGAAGAATAATTGCTCCTCATCAGAGAGCAAGACCTGCAAACAGCCAGGCAGAAGCCAGCTCTAAATCCAGCCTCTCTCTGTAATACATGGCTTCGCCTTGTCTCGATTAATGTTTGAAACAATTTAGTGACCAAACATCTTTGCCCTTAA